GGGGGAGGACGACTACACATAAAACCTTGGACTCAAATTATGGATAAAACTATTGCATGAAGCTGGCGGGGGGGCTGCGTGGTGTGCTTTTTGAGGCCCAGGCTACTTAGATAACAGTGAAGTTGAGGAGAAATGAGAAAACGGTGATGTGGTACGAAGAAGGAGAGAATAGGAGCCAGAGAGAGGGATACAAATCGCCCAGGGGGATCTGAGCAGCTCAGCTGAAGAATACTGGAATCCAAGTTTCCAAGGATAAGATAGCTGCTTTGATTAAGGACCTCCAATTAACTTCCATGTGAAAGAGAGAGGGAGGAAATCAGCTTCCTGGTCAGGGGGTGGGGGATAGAGAGAGATATTCATGCCTTGTGTTGGAGCAATTGGAGAACCGGCTTTGCTGTGGCCTAGATGATGCATATATATGTATTTATATATGTATTAAAGTAGTAAACCCTAAGAGGAAGAGTGGACCTTAACAAACAAAAAGAAAGGGCGGATGACACTCGGGTAGCCTCAAAGTAAAGCATTTGCGCAAAAAGCAAAAGGCTGAAGTGGGTTGAAGCATGGGCTGTGCTTCAAGTATTCATATCTCTGATAGGGTGGTCTACCACAGTGGAAAAGAGTCCGAGGATTCCCACTCACCCCAGCAGACTAATACCACTCAGCATCAAGGAAATCCTGCCTCGGGACTACCCCTAAAACCCCTGAGCTGCAAGGTGAGGGAACCTACATTCATTACATTCACAGTGACACAGGAACAAAATGTGTGTGTATGGGGGGGGGGTCGTTTCCATAATAGAAAAGGAATATATAAATCACATGATAATGATGTTTAGGACACCAAACAACCAGATTTCTAAAACTTCCATCATTTCTTAATGACAATAAATGACCATAAAAAGGGGAAAAACAATAAAGCCACTATAAATTTGACTACAACAGGCACAACCTACCTGCATTACTTTTTTTTTGAACTCATTCGAAACCATTTCCATTTTTCACATACCGATTTTGCTGCTTTTTTAATTTAGAGGAACTAGGCCACGGTACACACTCAGTTAAAGGTCGTGGGGTCACAGGCCTCCACACTCCCCCGAGTTCTTGTTCTCTTTGTAGTTTTTATGGAAGAGCCACGATAAAGCAAACATTTCTAGCGGTTTTCGGCCGCTTCTTCAGATGTACGCGATCTGCATGATCTCACAGCCGGAATAATGCACTTTATACAACCAGAATCTGACCTCTATAGTCAAACACTGTTCAGTTGACAGAGCTTTGGCCTCGGCTTCACCGTGCTACCAGCTCTTCAAGAGGATGTCCTCTCGTATCGAAGAGGCCTAAAGTTTGTGTTTCAAGCATAAAATGAGACAAGTAGTTTGAAAGTGTAAGGCGGACAGGCATATCTGAATGGAAAGTAGGAGCAGGTATTGAAGGATTGAGTGACAGAACAGCAAAAAGTTTGCCATCAGTGCGTTACATCACTGCAAATAATTACACTAACGGAGGAGAACCAAATGTGCTGAGCCTGCTTTGATGCAGGGGCCAAATAGGTGCTTCTAATCAAGATGATGGTGATTATTGTGGTATTTGTGTATTGTGTAAGAGGTCACACGAGTGCAACCTATCACTATTATTCAGACTAACAGGCCGATGTGTGTTTGGAGGTGAGAAAGATGGAATTTGTTGCAGCAGACTAAGACGTCAAGATCCTGGTTTTCAAAAGGCCTCATCCCATTTGTAGAAAAGTGAGTATTCAAGCAATATTGAGTTAAGAACAGTTATTCCATCTCTAAATGAAGAATAATTATGTGCAGGCCTCGAGCAGTGGCACACAGGAAGCTCGTACGGTAACGTTTGCATGTTCATCTTTAGACGCCTGCAAACACAAAACGTCCGTCGAGAAGAAAAAAAAAAAAAAAAGGGAAAAATTGTGATCTTGTGAATTTTTTGTGAATCTTGTGCAGGCTATTTGAGGGCCTCTGTCAAGCTGAATTTTGTGGCCAAATGTCACTGCAGGATGCAGTGAGAAGTGAGTGTGACAGATGCGCCCATGTCAAGACGCCCACTGTGCCTTTGATTGAATTAGTCCCCTGATTGAGTTAGACTAATGGTATACAAGTCTCCATCGGCTGGAAATGGTTAATCCCTGTTCTGTGAGGTGTCATCTTTAAAGTCCTCGCCCCCCAGCGAGGGGCCGGCTTTATTGTTACCATAACGTATAGAAAAGTAAGTTATGGTTGATTTCATAAAAAAAATCAGCTTGCCATGATTTGCCCAAGGCTCGGTGTGAAACATGCCGCTGCTGCTCGTCATAGCTCTTTTGATTTCTTCTCCCCTTAAGAGATCAATAACGGCCATTGATTGCTCTGGAATTGTGTGTCTTCATGCACCACCTAGATTTAATAAAACCTTTTGCAACACATTGTCATATAAAACACAAATTTCTTGCATATAATCCGGAACACAATGGTGAATGGAGACTTCGAGAGATGTCACTGTTGGATTTGTAACAGTGGAGCCGCACCAGATCCCAACTTGAAGCGATTAGCTGATTAATCGATTAGTTGATTGACAGAAACTGTTTTGATTCGATTCATAAAGACAGCATTCTGTGGTTGAAGCATCTCAGATGAGAGAGAGTTTGCTGCTTTACTTTGTCGTGACTGTAAGCAGGATATCTTTGGGTTTTGGACTGTTGGTCGGATGAAACAAGCGGTTGTGAGATGTCACATTTGGCTTAAGGAAAATATAATTTTTCACTATTTTCAGATCAAACAACGAGGAAATGATGGGCAGACTAGTCAGTAATGAAAATAATCATTAGTGTTGGCCTTAGTAGAAAGTACATTAGATCAACATCATCTCAAATAGTTGGTGTGTGTATAATTATTATGTGTTTGTGTTGTTCTCTGTGTGCATGTTTGTGCCCTGGCTTGTGTCACTGTGATTCTGAAGAGAGTGCACATGTTGGTCCCCTAAAGGATGATAGTCATCATCCACAGCTACACACACAGCTGGCAGTTAGCTACAGTAAAGTGCACAAGTTGAGCGTATTACAAAACTGTATAAAGCAATGTATGTTTGCTTATATATTGAGAGAGAGAGAGAGAGAGAGAGAGAGAGAGAGAGAGAGAGAGAGAGTGTGTGTGTGCAGGCGTCTACAGTGTGAGAAAGATTCAACAGAAGTTTGGGAGTGTGATGTGAGTCTTTGTCAAGGGTACGTTACCATCTGGGCTGCTCTGGCGATGATAAGGCTCAAGTACAAGGTCCTGTGATAGTGGGATTTTTTTTTTTTGTATGTGTGTACGGCTAAACAGACATAGAAAAACTTCAGCCAAACACAAAACCATTTATCTGGCCTTGACTTTTCCTGTCTGATTGCCCCCATTCAAGGAAATCAAGCAGCCCCCCCCCCC